AGGAATTAAACAACATTTTACGTTTCAATCAATTGAACTATTTCTTCAAATATAATTACCCTAAAATCTAACTACAGTACTTAAATTATTACAAAGTAAGAGACACGAAACAGAACTATTTCAAGATCACCAGAAAAAAAAAAAAACCTTAATGGATTATACAAGCAATTCAATCACTTGTAATGCACAAGTCCGTCCCGGCATAACAGGACACGCTCACGAACAGGAACGTTCTAATTGGGCCACCTAAGCGAAAAAGCTTCATTATCGCCCTCAGTCAACCGTTCAAATACATCGGCGCCGGCCTGAAAACTGCTTAGTCACGGTTACTCATGGTCATCGGAGTGATTCGCAGTGCATGCTGCAAACGACGTGTTTTGACATCGCTCGCGACGGCGACAACTGTAAGTGTAGCACGAGGAATTCGATTCACTCAAATAGGTCGTGGCTCGTGGCGAATTTATTAGGCCTAACAATACCGCTCTCCACGTGTAAGTTTTGTTTTGTTTTTTGTTTTAAATTTTATCTCATCTTTATTTTAATTTGCACGACGATCGTGCCACAAGAAGCTAGAAAACTGCCGACGCGCCTACACTGCCGCAGAACACGGGGAAAATCTATTCACGACATTCTAAAGCCGGAAAGTCATGCATTCAGATTCGAGCGGGAGGCACCGCGAGATCCGTGCTTTTTTTTTTTTTTTTTTTTTTTGTTAGACTACCTCGAGAAGTCACGTGGTTGTTGTTCAACATTTGAAGGGACGGAAGACGTGGATATTTGGTGGGCTGAGCTCAAACGCGTTTATGATTGCCGTTTAGAACATTGGATATTTAAAAGCGTGGAATCCGTAAAGAAGTAAAGAGGAGAAAACAAGATGAACAAAAGGTTTTGGAAATTTTAATTCTCCAAAAAACTTTATAAACTGAAAGAAGAAGAATCGCTATACATCATGAAATCTTTGCCTAATTTTATCAAATGGGCGCCACAAAATTTTGGCGTCACGCAACATCTTCAAAAGAGCCATTAGAGTAAAGTTCTGAAAATGGCGATGTTGTTACCGATTTATACGAAATGGCTAATGGGTTTAATATTTATTTTTATATTGACTTTGTTAATGATGCTGCACGAATAGATGATTCTGTGTTTGATGAGACGGGCGCTACTACTATGGAAAATTTGACTTTTGCCGAGGAAGAGATCCTTTCACTGTTATTTAATATAGACGTAAAAAAGTCAATAGTACCTGATAAAATACCAAATGAGTTCTCAAAACGATATGCAGAACGCGCTTCAAAGCAGCTGACTATTTTTTCGCAGTTCGATGCTGCATCACAACGTTCCCGGAGATCGGTGAATGCGAGGGTAATACCGATTCTTAAAAAAAGTAAGTAAACATAATGCTTGAGAACTATCGTCCCGTATCTTTAACGTGCACAGTGTGTAAACTGTCTGAGCATATCGCATCCAAAGTGCTATACAATGTTTTTAATTCATGTAGCATTTTTAATCCTAATCAGCATGGATTTGGTCAGAATTTACCGATAGTCACGCAACTGATTGAAACATTTGACGATTTCGCGGCTGCTTCTAATGAGCGAGGTCAGATCGATGCGGTATGTCTTGACCTATCTAAAGCGTCTGATAAAGTGCCTCACAATGAAATACTTCAAAAACTATTTTCTTATAGTGTGAGTCGTAGCGTCATATTTTAAATCCTCTGGCGTCCCTCAGGGGTCAATTCTCGGCAGAATTTTATTTTTAATATATATTAATGGCATTGCTTCACAAGTCTGTCCTGATGTTAGAATACGGTTATTCGCTGACGATTGTCTGATATACTCAAGGATTAAAACTGATGATGACCAACGTATCTCTCAGGTCTAGTCTTAAGTGTATCTCTCAGGTCTATTCAGGACGGGTGCGAGAAATGGAAAATGTAAATGAATAAGCAAAAACTGTTTTTGCCCGAATAACCAATAAAAAATGCTCTTCCTTTAAACTACCAATTCGACAGCGTTCCATTAAATGAAGTAGGCAGTTTTAAATATTTCAGAGTCACTATTTCAAGGGACTTGAGTTTGTGAGAACACATACATAAAATTTGCCATGATGTAATTAAAAAAAAAATTGTATCGAAGTCGAATTCTTTATTGTGCTCACCCTTATCATGGCTGAAGAAAAAATAAAACAACTAAAGCAGAGACAACACAACCACATCTTTCTCGCAACACACAACGACATCTTCTGAAAGATGTGGTTGTGTTGTCCCTGATTTAATTGTTTTATTCTTTCTTCATCCATTACTTGAACCAACCCGCTTTCTCCCAAGCAAGCTTAACCTGCAATCAATCTAATGACGTACAAAACGTATATTAGGCCTACTTTAGAATACGCAGCCATGGTCTGGGACCCTCATAAAAAAAATTAAAATTGACGAACATCGAGAACGTTTGAAGGAAGGCGGGAAGATTTAGTTTATCGATATAGGCGACATATTATTCCGTTAGAAATACGTTGACTTAACTTTATCTTCCATTGCTTTCGGTAAGGCAAAAATTAACTCGATTAAAAAAAAAAGTTTCTTTTCATCACTTGTTAAATGTAGGCTCCTGCCATTACATGCTAAATCCTCGCGACCTAAAAGAACCAAGACGTACTCACAGGCATCAATTTAAACCACCGAATTATCATATCGATGCATATTGGTATCCGTTTTTCCTTAGAACTATACGTAACTGGAATATCCTTCCCCACAATATTGTGTCGATAAACTATCCACGGGAGTTTTCAAATGTTATTTCAGAGTTTTAAAACAGCCTGTTAAATATGTTGTTGTTTTTTTCACAGAAAGTGATGTTGATTGGTCGGATTAGTATTTTTACTATTGAAGTGTAAAGTGTTTCAATTATAGGTTTTCTTTTATTGTTATTAAACCCTCTTTGTATTCCAAATGGTCCGTGCATTGTTTTGGTTCTTTTCTTGTTGTCTATTTTATATTTTATGTGAACTCGTAACGTGTACTTTAAGTGAACTTCTTTCCCTATACCTGGCGCAGCCCATGTTAGGGGTGAACAGTATTCATAAATAATAAACATATAAATAAACTCAATCCCACTTATGTTTAAAGGCGGACTATAGACGTTTTCTAGCAGCCGCGCTCCGAGAGCTAGTCTGGCAACTTTGGATGAAAAAAACGCTTTGTCTGGGCGCCAGTCTGGAAGCCGTGGGTACGCCTCAGCAGTGCTTGACCATCACACGATCTACCCCCCCAATGGCAAGATGGCGGTGCCCAGAGGCCGTACTGGCAAACGTCTTACGTATTCTACGTAAAACGCACGTTGTCGGGGCTTTCCAATTTGTTGCCGAAAGTTTCTCCTATACTCCGTTTCCCCTTAAGTCCGACCACAGCCCACGCTGTACGATCAGGTGAAACAGCTCAAGCAGCGCCAAAAAGTGCACTGTCACGGCGCTCTGAGTCTTTGTTCCTCTGCTATCACCGACTGAATCAATCACCAACTTTACTAAAACAACTCAGTTAGGAAACTGTCATAGACCCTGCTTTGAAAAAGTGGCTCCGATTCGTACTCGAGAAATGAACTAATGGCGATCGCAACGCCGCCATTTCTCTCGCAGCGGCCGCACCGGGAACTGCACGTCTGCACGTATTGGTTCAGGGGGAGTCGCTCGAAAGCATGTAGCGCCATCTCTCGAAAAGCTATTTAGCAGTAGCTATATAAATCAACCTTCATGTTTTGAGCTGTCGCTAAATGGCGGGCTTGTTATCGCATTTAGTTTGGTCTCCTACTGAGTATTTTAGAAACGCTGCCCATCGCGCACAGGGCATGAGCCGCGATCATTCGCTTTTTTTTTTTTTCAGGGCGTAATTGGTTTAGCTGGTGATATAGCAAACGCGCAAAGACAACGAGCGCCATGACAATGCAATTTTGGCGCTGTTTGTTTGGTTTCATTGGGGTCATAGCGTCGGCAACGATCGGAACGGGGTATGCGGAGCGGAAGTTCGTCTGCTTCTTGCACGGGGGTTGCAGGGACGTCAGAACGGCGAGCTCTGATTGGCTCCGATGTAAGGATAGTGGTTGTAGACCTCAAGACTAGGTGTGTCGGGATCTACCCACCATATCCTTCCAATTGAAGCCAATCAGAGCTCGGCGTTCTGTCGTCGCCGTAACCTCGGTTACGCAAGAAGCCAACGCACACTGCTCACACATCATACAAAGGACACGGCGTTCGCTGCAGGCACGATGACAGAATCATTAGCGGACACGTCTCAAGTAGTGTTCGAAGCAGACGTGAACGCGTAACTGAAACGAAGTACCTGAACACCGTCACTCGTTACTCACTCAAAGTGTAGCCAAGTACGTTACATTGCTACTGCAATTCAAAAAGAAATGCGTTACATCCGTGTGAACGTAACGTGTTTTTGAAGCAGTAGCCGCTTCCACTATTTGACATCGGTAATAGTTCCTCGTTTTTTGACGTGTGAATGAATACCATTACTCGTCACATCATCCAAAAAGTAACAATAATGCGTTACTCGTTCCTCTTTTTACACAGTGTCAGGAGTTAGGGGGTTACTTCTAACTTTAGAAGAAAAAAAGTAACTATAGACCCAAGTAACGCGTTACCTTTACGCTTTACTTACAAGTCTGGTTTGAAGCATCTTTGCTTTATACATAGATGCTTAGAACATGTCTGCAGAGAGTTTGGCAGGACCGTCATGGAATAAAGAAACACGCCACAAACAGTAGAGAGTTTTAGAGAACCGTTTCTGCCCATCCGATACGATGAGCCCTCCGGTATACGAAGCGCGCATATGGGAGACCTCTGTGGCAGCGCATGCGCAGTTCGTACCGGAGGGCCCATCGTACCCTATCGGCTGTGCAGAAACTCTCTAGTGTCTGTAGACAGTCTCTTGTATGATGCATTCACAGTGTGACCCTGGCCTCGTGTTTTCTTGCACGTGTGCACCGCCGCTGACTCACCGATGATGCAGATCTTGCTGCGGCCGCCGTGCACGTCGTCGCGCAGCCCGTTGGCCACCTGGATGCCCTTGACCCTCTCCAGGCGCCCGCTGCGGTGTCCCACGTACACGTAGACCCGGTCCCGGGCGTCGAGCACGAAGCAGTCGCCGTGGTTCATGGACGACGCGGCCAGGGGCACCTGCCGCACGCGCACGTTCCGCTTGCCCTTGAGGTGGAAGAGACGCTTGTGGACCGACTTGTCCAGCTCGTGCAGACCGGACTCAATGCCGCCGTCCAGGTACCTGAAGGGCAACCCCGGAGTGTGATTAGACGGTTAGGCCTACGGGCCTTCTGCGTTTATGGGTTTCGGCGTGAGGCGGCGAATAACACCGGCGCGGTCATATTGTTTTTCTTATTTAGAGACCCGCCCAACCCATTTCCCCACCCGCCCCTCTCCGACATCATTAGAGAAGGGGCTACATGTCGTGGCTTTCCCGTCTACTGCGAAGGTTATAAATGACGACGTGCTATTCGATTCTAACCGGTATTCCCAGACTCATATTAATAATACTAATATTATTTTATTTACGAGGTAGTGCAAGCCAAAATTGTAGTCCAACCTGGAGTGGATACAATGTTTATAGAGAGCAAGATTACCAAGGATTATACAATGCAACACCAAACGGGGAAGGGAGCAGATGAAAATGTAAATTATGTATCGAAAACACTAACAAAACGTTACACATAACATTTTAAAGCATAAAATATTCTACAGTGCAACAAACAAAATGGGGGCAAGGGGGGGGGGGGGGGGGGGGCGGTGGAGTGAACAAGATATAAAAGCCCGAAAGATTAATTACACATAAAAAAGACCTCCAATTGATTCGGGTGTACAATGGTTAATTATATTACCACACGCGTCGCCGAGCGAGCGCGTGCGTGGCCGAGTGGTTAGCGGGTTTGGCTGTCGCGCGAAGGACCCGGGTTGGATTCCAGAGATTTATATCGGGCACATGGACTAGCTAGATCATCCGCTGTAGTAATTGGGCTGTGTGTTCTGGACAGTGAGAACTTAATCAGCCCCAAAGGGCGTCAGGTGTCTCCACCGTAAAAGAGAAATCTACCCAGTTCAGTGACCTCCTAGACTGGGGTCTTTAAAATGTCTCATATAGTAGGGGTCCGCGACCGCACGCCGGTACGATGCTCATTCAGATCGAAATGGGCGCGAGTAGGGATGAACCGAAAATTTCAGGTTTTTGCAGCGCGAGCTTTCGCTGCCCGTAAGCTTCTAGCGTCTCCATCGAAATCGACGGCACCTAGCGGTTACAACAGAAAGTTCTGGCGGTAGGTTCGCTCGCCAGCTCTTACATGGAGCGAATCAGGTATTAGCAACGCCTGGTGGCCTAGAGACGAAGTTTCGAAAGTAGGTTTGAAAATACGGGATAAAAATCTCCAATAGACGGGGGTGCTGTTTACAAACAAGCCTTCAATCCAGGTGTAATTGCACCACGCGTGTGCAGGAAGAAGCTTTTAAAGATGTGAAGCATCTGCCCACATGCACCCTCCCGTCAGCAATTCTCCCGCTGTTATGTGACGTCACAGGTGCTAATTAATTGATAGTTGATGGAACGCGCACATAGTAGATTTTTTTGCGATTCCTGCTAAGAAAACAAAAACAAAAATAACATGGATGGTACACTTACTTGACTCCCGTCTTGAAAAGTGAGAGGAACATGTCGGACTCGTGGTCCTGGACTTCTCGGTGCTGGACTGGACTTCCGCCCAGGGAGTCGTCAAGTTCCACGCTCTTGATGGCGGCCACCGTGTACTCGTCCTGTGCAAGACTCCACGTCACTTCCGCTTCCTCCTCGTATCAATTCTCAATATTGGCATAATTGTGTCAATCGACAAATTTAAACCAACTGATAAAATATATGCATTATATTGCACGAATAGAAGCTTACTTCAACGCACCGCACCTACTGCGATCGGCGTTTGATGGCGCCGTAATGCCACCATCCTAACCTTCACCGGTGTCCAAAAAGCACGACACTTCTACGCGTCATGTGCATAATTTATAGGGCACTAGTAACGTAACTCTTTTGAATTTCAACTAACAATATTGAAGAATAAAGAATACTCTCCACACTGGGAACATTCCCTAAATCACTTACAGCTTTCCTAAATTATCAAAAAATATAGTGTATATTTTATCCTTAGTTGTGAGACTGCCACCACTCTTCTAAATAGCTTGGAGGCTGCCTCTGAAGTGGTACTGTATACCCACCTACAGATCAACCCTTTGTATTACCTCCTCAGAATACCGATGTTAATGGACTAAAGTTAATGGTTCAGAAGGACTATACTCTGAGCGGTATGATCACTTCTACTTTCATCCCGGAACGTGAGTGCAAATAACAAAGGGCAACCATTTTCCATTGCGTCACTGGCAGGTGTCTTATACACACAAAAAGCAAAAGCGTGTCATGACAACCTGAACTTATGGCAGATACCACGTCTCTCAATCTGAGGAAAGGCACTTGAGATGGCAAGGTTGTCTAATATATATCCGCGTGCATTATGCACATTCTCGAACGGATTTCTAAATGACTGCAACTTAAATGAGCATACTGGTTTCGTACCACACCCGCTGTACAAGCTGGTGTCTGTAGAAGTAGTGTTTAAGTGAAAACCAGGAAAAACCCTATAGTTAATCAAAGTTCACACTATGCACTTGTCGTCGTTACATCTTTAAGTATTTACTTAGAACTTTTTCCTACAGGCAGAGGGACAACTTTCAGCGCGTGTACCAACAGACCCAGCTTGTTATTTGCCGTTCCAATCCTTTAGCAAAACGTCTGTTCGCTATTCCCACCACTTACACTTTGGTTTAGCTCGCCTTCAATAAAGTCGAGGAAACCTCATGCTGATTTGGTTTGTCCAGGAGACCGCTCCATATAATGTGCATAGATGTCACTCAAAAATGTCTGCTTGTGTTCCTCACATAAACAGCGCACTGTTTTTTTAAGTCTCTACCAACACGCTCCTTACGTTTCAAAATAGTGCCGTTTATAAATAAGCGAAACGCCGACAGCAGCTTTCATTCGTCTACTGCAATCGGAACTTTGCTTCAATGTTCTCCTAGCAAGGGAAGCATTTTTTTTTCATCTTCGTGCATTTGCGACGTTATCCTCTTTGTGGGATTAGTACGACACTTCGAAACGACTTTTCTTTGTTTCTTTGATTTATTTTATTTCTCATTTGTTTTTGAGAAAAAATACGCCGGTCGTTGCGTTCATCGACTCTCGAGTTTTCGTATACTCCCTAGATCTCGGACCTGAAAAGTCATCTTTTTTTTTCTTATTTTAACCGCTGCTCGTTTCACACCTTCTATAATATACTAATTTAAGCTTTGGGTCTGTCTGCTTTTGCGGTAACTTGTTCTTGTTTACCAGTTATTAAAAACTGATATATTCATTCAATAAATTTCGTTGTTACTGAGCAACAAATGGTGGCCCCTTCCCCATGTTATGATGACTGAAGCTGTGGCGACGAAGATATCATCAACTGAATGTTTTCATTCAAAGGTTGCAAGTATGTCAGAACTCTTTTCCTTCGTTAGCACTGTTAGCTTTTTTAAAAAATAATAACGATAACTTTTGGAAAAAAGGGCAACTTATCCTACCATGCTGGTGTCCCGTCCAAGCCAGAAGTGAATGTTCCATTCCAGGCGACCACTTCGTGCCTTCTTCGTCTGGAACGAAATTGATGAAAAAAAAGGTTAGTTAAAATAGTACAACACAATTGTGAAAGTATATATAAGCAATAGGCATATGTGTGTTTATGTCAGTGGTGCCTCCATGGATGTCTAGGAACATCACCCAGCGATGAGGTGCTTGTTTGCTATATCATGAGACAAAGAGAGATCAGAAAGACAGCATATAGGATAAAATCGAAATAGAAAGAAAGGGGAAAGTAAATTTAAAAAAAAAGAGAGAGAGAAAATGGGCAAACACATAGAGCCTCAGCCCATGATTGAAATAAACATTAGAGCATATAAGAAGTATGATTCAGTCCAATTTACCACATAACTAGGCATTTAGAACAAGGCTCTGCGGGAAGCGATGAAGTGAGGTGGTAGCCTTGACGTCTTCAGCCGTTACGTCAAAGGCTGTCATTAACTTTATTATCTTGTCGATTTGAAGTAACGTAATTTATAAATTACACTTATCTACAACCCAATATCTTATAGTAAGTGATCTCATCCCGTAAAGAAATGCCATATAGGGCCATAAGAAGAAGCTGGCAAGTATGGCCACATAGACCTTTCCAGCGGCAGTTTCGAAGAAGCGATTTTCAGCGCGCGTCCCTGGTTTTGAGAGTGTACGCCAGTGTTGCCCGACTGCGCTGCGCTGTGGGTTTTCTCGTCAGTGGGCTATGGCAGCCTGCGTAGGCGCACTTCCGGACACTGGTGGCGGCTAAAGTGCAGCGTTTTATTTTTTATTTTGTGTTCTATGGCATATATAATTTCTCGAGGTTTTTAAGAACGCATTGTACTATTTTTGGGAACAAAAACAAACAAATTAAAACGGTTTTGGTGAGTCCGTCCGCGACAGAACAAATGCAACGAGAATGTTTATTTTTATGTTGATCTTTTTACGACACCATACACTCAGCCGTGTCAATCGACAAGCCGAATTGCATGGGTATTCCCCGCTCACGACATGATTTTTAATGAGTCTCATGAATCGAACAACATATATCGTACGTACCCCACGGTATCGCGTTATCCGAAAAGGATTTGAGAAATATCTTGAATAATGCAGCATATTCAATATACAGTCTCGACGATCGTCACTTCACGACGAACGGACGGAGTCCGGCTTGTTTCAGTGCATGTGTTGAAGAGAGCTGCTTTTGCACAGCACCAAAGCAAATGAACGAACGTGTGCATTCCGTCCCCATACCTCGATCCCAACCCTGCCAGCTATTTTTCGCGAAGATCCAGAACATAGCCGGGAAGGTTTTTGGGAGATTATTTCAACAGAAATAATCCTCGAAGAGCGTCGAACGGCCGGCGTCGCTGTCTACTTGACGTTCCATTTCTTACTTCGTTTCCTGCGAAGGCCGAGCAGGCTACGAGCCCTCGTATTCCCTGGTTTTCACATGTGAAGATAACAGAGAAAGGATAAGCATCCTGAACAGGTAAATAAAGTAAAAACTTTGAAGAAGAACTGGCCAACTCCGAATGCACAATGCGGGTGGGGAGTCGCGCTGAACGGGTATCCACAGCTCAGGCAGGTGGCAGAAAATTCTGGCTGATAGGGGTCACTCGAATCGCGAAATGGCGGCGGCCAGAGAGCCCTTTTTGCAAAGGTCTATAACCATATTATATATATGGCGTATATGACTTCAGTTGGCCAATTCTGGAGTTGCCATATATGGCATTTTTGTACTGGATACAAGTCAAGTTCTATAGCGCGTCCACGGCTGCCAAACGCAGAGAAAACCTGCCCAGTACAGGCGTTTGCGAGTACGGACTCTGAGAGTCGCCATCTTGCTGCTGGCTTGTCTAAGATCGTCTGATAGCCAAGCCATAGCAATGTTATTAGGTTAGCTCAGTCATGGATAGGGGTGTCGCGAACTTTTGTCGAACCAGATTTTTTGGTCGAACTTTGGGGGTTCGACTGGGTTGAACCGGTTCGACGAACCTTCGAACTTTTCACCAGATTCGAACGGTTCGACGTTGTGGACAGTGTGGCCAGACCTTGAAACAAGTATGTCTAGGTTTGGAGATTTTGTTTTTTTATGCAAAGGGTTATTTTATTTTGTGAACAGCTGCAATTAAAAGAAACTAATTCTATTCACTGAAGAAGTTAATAACTTAAATTTTAGTCCTGTATGGACTGAAATAGCGGATCAGCGCTGCACTTAATTCATCTCTTAGCCATTACCATCCAATCCGAAGCCAACTGGCCAACCTGTCGCGCATGCGCACACGAGTCGAACCTCAATACAAGGTTCGACGAACTTTCCTCTAAAAGTTCGAAAAAGTCGAACCTGGTCGAACTCGAACCGCGGCCGGTTCGCGACACCCCTAGTCATGGAGCTCCCCGTGAACGCTGCTTCCTCAAGCAATACTCCCCTGTACGCCTAATGCCCGCCTCCCGTCCTTCGACGCGGCACCGTTTTAAAAATGTTTTCAAGCACAGCGTCCAGATGCCGTTTTCCCATACTCTATGGAACACACAGTTTCGAAACGAAAATCTAGATAGCGCTTCGAACGACGGGAGGCTCACTGGAGCGGAAGATAGCAGGTACCATTGATCTCCATGACGATTGCTGGATGGCGCTTCCCCGCTACGCGAATGCAGCCACCGGACGGCCATCTTGCATGCGGCAAAATCGCGTTTTGCTAGTGTTGCAGAAGCTGGAGGTGGCGTGTCGAAGACATATTGTCTATCCGTTCGTCATCGTTTCACGAAGTTTTTTAAAACCCTGTGTAAGCGGTAAAACTTTCCCTTGAGAACACGTGGAAATTTTTACGAAAGTGCAGTACCGCAGGAGAAAGGCATCCCTCGTCGAAACCTAGTTTCCCCAGTCTCACGGCGTGATCAACGCTTCCTTGGCGCGCCGAAGTGCTGCGTTTCTGTGCCTTCGAACGCTTGGATACCATCAAGCATCGACGCCGTGTAAATGTGTTTTGCGAACGCAATGTGCGTGAAGCCGTATGTAAAGGCACAACTCGTCGAAAGCAAGTTTCGCAAGTCTAGCGGCGTAATCAAAGCTTCCTTGTCACGCCGAATTGCTGCATCTCTCTGCCTTTGCACGCGTGGATACCGATCAGGAATCGACGCCGCATTAAAGCCCTGAAGGTGTGTCGCGCGTAGATGTCTTTGCATCATATATCGGCCACGGAGTTTCGCATCGCCCAGCTGTTCCGGCAAGTAGCTATCACTAAAAGGGGGGGGGGGGGGGGATCTATACAGTTGCTCTTAAGCACTATTAACCATGGCTCTGTAGCAAATCTACTCTAGTGGATCACACGGCACGGAGCAAGGAATGTTTTCGATGGCAAAAAAGTACAAGACTGCGCGATTGAAAATTTGTGAAACGCAACCGATATAGTCGTGTGCTATCTGTTGACTAGTCACCATTCCCTAAGGGTTCGAATCACATAGCCACTTTTGAATAATGAAGCCAGGGGCTTCGGAAGTGTTTGGTAGGAAAGGGGGGGGGGGGGGGTGCACAAAAATTACTTTTTTTGTTCGACTGAATCGGATTGCCATCAGCGTCTAGTAAACAAAAACGCGCTGCTGCCCTCCTCCCCTCTTCCGTCGCCACCATGACACTGGATCAAGCTCGTTTCTAGACCGCGAGTGCCGCAAGTTACAAATACAGTCGTTGCATTGAAGTAAAACGCTGCCCCAGAGACACATACGGCTCCACGCACATCGCACTCGCAAAATACATCCACACAGCATCAAATCTTGATCGGTATTAAAGCGTTCGAAGGCACAGAGACGCAACATTTGGGTGTGCCAAGGAAGCTTTGATCACGCCGCGAGACCGGCGAAAGTTACTTTCAACGAGTTTTGCCTCTTTCCATCGGCACTGCGCTTTCGCAAAACTTTCCACGCGTTCTCAACGGCAAGTCTTACCGCTTACAAAGGGTTTTAAAAACTTTTTCGGCGAATCACGATGAACAAGTAGGAAACGTGCCTTCAGTACGCTGGCGCCAGCCTCCACAACAAATTCTCCATAGCACCATTTATTTTCTTCTTCTTCTTCCACAACGCTAGCAGAAACGTGATTTCGCCGCATGCATGATGGCCGTCCGGTGGCCGCGCTCGCGCTGCAGCGACCAATCGGGGAAGCGCGATCCAGCAATTGTCATAGAGATTAGTGGCGCATACCAGAGCCGTATATACAAAGAGTTTGCCCATTCATTGACGCCATTGGCTGAAAGCGGGCTGGGCGTGTTCCAGAATGGCTTCAGAAATTCGAATGTGGCCAACCAGAAGCCGGAAATAATTCCCTGGCGGTGGTCGCGAGAAACAAAATTAATGAGTGCGTCGGAGTAACTCTCGGTGGCTGAAAATATTGTGCACGTGATGTTTCAATCACGGTCATTCAAAATCATGATGGAAGCGCGCGACTTGCAGAACGACTGTCGTAATCCGTACGCCAGGCCCCGAGGGCCGGGAATCTGCCGTCCAAGCGGTCACACTCTCTCCGAGCAAAAGAGAGTTCGAGCGGCACATTCGTTTCTTATATATTTCTGCACGATCATAATCGAAACATCACGTGCAATCTATTGTCAACCATGAAGGGTTACTACAATTAACTCTTACGCGCTTATTAAAACCATATATCTATGATTAAAACTGTTTTTCGCTACCACCGCTTGGGGATCCTTTTCGGCTTCTGGTTGGCCAAGAGAGCATGCCAAGCCCTCTTTCTGCGCCTGGTGCACGCCCTGGCTCTGCCCGCGCCTCCCTTTGACCAAACTCTGTATACACTTGTCTAATGGGTACCCCACTGATCTCCATTGTAGTAGGCTGGATCGTGGATTGTCTTTCTGTGGTCGAGTGGCACAACCGATAGCCATCCCTTGACACCAGCGACTGCATGTGACTCTATGGAAAAAACAAGAAAGAGTGCCATTGTCCCCGTTTCTAACCTGTTGTCGGCACTGAAACCTTTTAGCTGCTGTTCGGGAAACCTGTCAAATAGCTTGTGCCCAAAAATTTA